GCGCTGGGATGTTCGCTAACAGTATATCGCTCATAAAGGACTTCCAACTTGTTTTTACTTAGTGGAGAACTTGTGTATCCTGTGTGTATCAGGGCCTTAAAGCGTGTCAGCATGTCTGACCACCCACTGATAAATGATCCATCATGCCTTTGAGTCTTTGACTGGTGCATTATGGGTAGTCCAGTGAATGTTTGGGCACGTTCAGCAGTGATGTTCTGCTTTGATGATGTTTAATGCGCTAATAACATCCTGTGCTAATCTCTACACTTCAACACACACTGCAGATCTCACCAGAATCTCTCAGTCACGGTTTGATTCTGATCTCCTTTGTCTCGTGTGAGTGTTAATAGAAACATCTTCAGCTGTGAACGTGCTGAAGAAACACACACACACACACACACACCCATGTTTCTCTCTCTCTCTCTCTTCAGTCTGTTTTGACTGTGATTCTGAATGTTAGATTGTGTTTGATCAAACCGTTTCTGTCTGGTAGAGCCGCGTCTGATGCCATAACACACCCGTGACCCACATTCTGTGTGTGTGTTGTGTCGTTGCTTAGCAACAGTAAACACTACAGTTACTCTGACTCGCTTCTGGCAGAATTGTTCATATTCTAGTAATAGAATAAACAATTTGTCATGTTCCTGAATTCTGTACAGTTACAATGATTTTACTCCTAAAAACAACTCACCTGTGACTAACCTGTGTGTGTGTGTGTGTGTGTGTGTGTGTGTGTGTGTGTGTGTGTGTGTGTGTGTGTGCAGGGTTGTGGTGTATGCTAACGGCACACTGCACATTACTCAGGTGAAGCAGCGAAGCACAGGTGTGTATAAGTGTGTGGCTCAGTATGGAAAGAACAAACACGTGGACGTGGAGGCAGCACTCAGGATCGCAGGTGAGACAAAACACACACACACACACACTCACATACACACTCACACTCTCTCACACACACACACACACACTCACACTCACACTCACACTCACACACTCACATACACACACACTCACATACACACTCACTTACACTCTCTCACACACACACTCATATACACACTCACACTCTCTCTCTCTCTCTTACACACACACTCACTTACACTCTCTCACACACACACACACACACACACACACACTCGCATACACACACCTACATACACACACTCACATACACACTCACTTACACTCTCACACACACACTCACATACATACACACACCCACATACACACACACTCATATACACACTCACCTATACTCTCTCTCACTCACACACACACTCACATACACATACACTCGCATACACACTCACTTACACTCTTACACACAAACACACACACAAATCAATCCGATTGATGAATCAGAACACAGTGTTTACATGAACGATAAATTACCCTGATTACCCTCCTCCCTCCCCAGCTCCACTAGTTTCTCAGGGGCTGATTACCCTCCTCCCTCCCCAGCTCCACTAGTTTCTCAGGGGCTGATTACCCTCCTCCCTCCCCAGCTCCTCTAGTTTCTCAGGAGCTGATTACCCTCCTCCCTCCCCAGCTCCTCTTGTTTCTCAGGGGCTGATTACCCTCCTCCCTCCCCAGCTCCTCTAGTTTCTCAGGGGCTGATTACCCTCCTCCCTCCCCAGCTCCTCTCGTTTCTCAGGGGCTGATTACCCTCCTCCCTCCCCAGCTCCTCTCGTTTCTCAGGGGCTGATTACCCTCCTCCCTCCCCAGCTCCTCTCGTTTCTCAGGGGCTGATTACCCTCCTCCCTCCCCAGCTCCTCTCGTTTCTCAGGGGCTGATTACCCTCCTCCCTCCCCGGCTGATTACCCTCCTCCCTCCCCAGCTCCTCTAGTTTCTCAGGGGCTGATTACCCTCCTCCCTCCCCAGGTCCTCTAGTTTCTCAGGGGCTGATTACCCTCCTCCCTCCCCAGCTCCTCTAGTTTCTCAGGGGCTGATTTCCCTCCTCCCTCCCCAGCTCCTCTAGTTTCTCAGGGGCTGATTACCCTCCTCCCTCCCCAGCTCCTCTCGTTTCTCAGGAGCTGATTACCCTCCTCCCTCCCCAGCTCCTCTAGTTTCTCAGGAGCTGATTACCCTCCTCCCTCCCCAGCTCCTCTAGTTTCTCAGGGGCTGATTACCCTCCTCCCTCCCCAGCTCCTCTAGTTTCTCAGGGGCTGATTACCCTCCTCCCTCCCCAGCTCCTCTCGTTTCTCAGGGGCTGATTACCCTCCTCCCTCCCCAGCTCCTCTAGTTTCTCAGGAGCTGATTACCCTCCTCCCTCCCCAGCTCCTCTAGTTTCTCAGGGGCTGATTACCCTCCTCCCTCCCCAGCTCCTCTCGTTTCTCAGGAGCTGATTACCCTCCTCCCTCCCCAGCTCCTCTCATTTCTCAGGAGCTGATTACCCTCCTCCCTCCCCAGCTCCTCTAGTTTCTCAGGAGCTGATTACCCTCCTCCCTCCCCAGCTCCTCTCGTTTCTCAGGAGCTGATTACCCTCCTCCCTCCCCAGCTCCTCTAGTTTCTCAGGAGCTGATTACCCTCCTCCCTCCCCAGCTCCTCTCGTTTCTCAGGGGCTGATTACCCTCCTCCCTCCCCAGCTCCTCTAGTTTCTCAGGGGCTGATTACCCTCCTCCCTCCCCAGCTCCTCTCGTTTCTCAGGAGCTGATTACCCTCCTCCCTCCCCAGCTCCTCTCGTTTCTCAGGAGCTGATTACCCTCCTCCCTCCCCAGCTCCTCTCGTTTCTCAGGAGCTGATTACCCTCCTCCATCCCCAGCTCCTCTCGTTTCTCAGGAGCTGATTACCCTCCTCCCTCCCCAGCTCCTCTCGTTTCTCAGGAGCTGATTACCCTCCTCCCTCCCCAGCTCCTCTAGTTTCTCAGGAGCTGATTACCCTCCTCCATCCCCAGCTCCTCTCGTTTCTCAGGGGCTGATTACCCTCCTCCCTCCCCAGCTCCTCTAGTTTCTCAGGGGCTGATTACCCTCCTCCCTCCCCAGCTCCTCTAGTTTCTCAGGGGCTGATTACCCTCCTCCCTCCCCAGCTCCACTCGTTTCTCAGGAGCTGATTACCCTCCTCCCTCCCCAGCTCCTCTAGTTTCTCAGGGGCTGATTACCCTCCTCCCTCCCCAGCTCCTCTAGTTTCTCAGGGGCTGATTACCCTCCTCCCTCCCCGGCTCCTCTCGTTTCTCAGGGGCTGATTACCCTCCTCCCTCCCCAGCTCCTCTAGTTTCTCAGGGGCTGATTACCCTCCTCCCTCCCCAGCTCCTCTAGTTTCTCAGGAGCTGATTACCCTCCTCCCTCCCCAGCTCTTCTCGTTTCTCAGGGGCTGATTACCCTCCTCCCTCCCCAGCTCTTCTCGTTTCTCAGGGGCTGATTACCCTCCTCCCTCCCCAGCTCCTCTAGTTTCTCAGGGGCTGATTACCCTCCTCCCTCCCCAGCTCCTCTAGTTTCTCAGGAGCTGATTACCCTCCTCCCTCCCCAGCTCCTCTAGTTTCTCAGGGGCTGATAACCCTCCTCCCTCCCCAGCTCCTCTCGTTTCTCAGGGGCTGATTACCCTCCTCCCTCCCCAGCTCCTCTCGTTTCTCAGGGGCTGATTACCCTCCTCCCTCCCCAGTTCCTCTCGTTTCTCAGGGGCTGATTACCCTCCTCCCTCCCCAGCTCCTCTCGTTTCTCAGGGGCTGATTACCCTCCTCCCTCCCCAGCTCCTCTAGTTTCTCAGGGGCTGATTACCCTCCTCCCTCCCCAGCTTCTCTCGTTTCTCAGGGGCTGATTACCCTCCTCCCTCCCCAGCTCCTCTCGTTTCTCAGGGGCTGATTACCCTCCTCCCTCCCCAGCTCCTCTAGTTTCTCAGGAGCTGATTACCCTCCTCCCTCCCCAGCTCTTCTCGTTTCTCAGGGGCTGATTACCCTCCTCCCTCCCCAGCTCCTCTAGTTTCTCAGGGCCTGATTACCCTCCTCCCTCCCCAGCTCCTCTAGTTTCTCAGGGGCTGATTACCCTCCTCCCTCCCCAGCTCCTCTAGTTTCTCAGGGGCTGATTACCCTCCTCCCTCCCCAGCTCCTCTCGTTTCTCAGGAGCTGATTACCCTCCTCCCTCCCCAGCTCCTCTAGTTTCTCAGGAGCTGATTACCCTCCTCCCTCCCCAGCTCCTCTAGTTTCTCAGGGGCTGATTACCCTCCTCCCTCCCCAGCTCCTCTAGTTTCTCAGGGGCTGATTACCCTCCTCCCTCCCCAGCTCCTCTCGTTTCTCAGGGGCTGATTACCCTCCTCCCTCCCCAGCTCCTCTAGTTTCTCAGGAGCTGATTACCCTCCTCCCTCCCCAGCTCCTCTAGTTTCTCAGGGGCTGATTATCCTCCTCCCTCCCCAGCTCCTCTCGTTTCTCAGGAGCTGATTACCCTCCTCCCTCCCCAGCTCCTCTCGTTTCTCAGGAGCTGATTACCCTCCTCCCTCCCCAGCTCCTCTAGTTTCTCAGGAGCTGATTACCCTCCTCCCTCCCCAGCTCCTCTCGTTTCTCAGGAGCTGATTACCCTCCTCCCTCCCCAGCTCCTCTAGTTTCTCAGGAGCTGATTACCCTCCTCCCTCCCCAGCTCCTCTCGTTTCTCAGGGGCTGATTACCCTCCTCCCTCCCCAGCTCCTCTAGTTTCTCAGGGGCTGATTACCCTCCTCCCTCCCCAGCTCCTCTCGTTTCTCAGGAGCTGATTACCCTCCTCCCTCCCCAGCTCCTCTCGTTTCTCAGGAGCTGATAACCCTCCTCCCTCCCCAGCTCCTCTCGTTTCTCAGGAGCTGATTACCCTCCTCCCTCCCCAGCTCCTCTAGTTTCTCAGGAGCTGATTACCCTCCTCCATCCCCAGCTCCTCTCGTTTCTCAGGAGCTGATTACCCTCCTCCCTCCCCAGCTCCTCTCGTTTCTCAGGAGCTGATTACCCTCCTCCCTCCCCAGCTCCTCTAGTTTCTCAGGAGCTGATTACCCTCCTCCATCCCCAGCTCCTCTCGTTTCTCAGGGGCTGATTACCCTCCTCCCTCCCCAGCTCCTCTAGTTTCTCAGGGGCTGATTACCCTCCTCCCTCCCCAGCTCCTCTAGTTTCTCAGGGGCTGATTACCCTCCTCCCTCCCCAGCTCCACTCGTTTCTCAGGAGCTGATTACCCTCCTCCCTCCCCAGCTCCTCTAGTTTCTCAGGGGCTGATTACCCTCCTCCCTCCCCAGCTCCTCTAGTTTCTCAGGGGCTGATTACCCTCCTCCCTCCCCGGCTCCTCTCATTTCTCAGGGGCTGATTACCCTCCTCCCTCCCCAGCTCCTCTAGTTTCTCAGGGGCTGATTACCCTCCTCCCTCCCCAGCTCCTCTAGTTTCTCAGGAGCTGATTACCCTCCTCCCTCCCCAGCTCTTCTCGTTTCTCAGGGGCTGATTACCCTCCTCCCTCCCCAGCTCTTCTCGTTTCTCAGGGGCTGATTACCCTCCTCCCTCCCCAGCTCCTCTAGTTTCTCAGGGGCTGATTACCCTCCTCCCTCCCCAGCTCCTCTAGTTTCTCAGGAGCTGATTACCCTCCTCCCTCCCCAGCTCCTCTAGTTTCTCAGGGGCTGATTACCCTCCTCCCTCCCCAGCTCCTCTCGTTTCTCAGGGGCTGATTACCCTCCTCCCTCCCCAGCTCCTCTCGTTTCTCAGGGGCTGATTACCCTCCTCCCTCCCCAGTTCCTCTCGTTTCTCAGGGGCTGATTACCCTCCTCCCTCCCCAGCTCCTCTCGTTTCTCAGGGGCTGATTACCCTCCTCCCTCCCCAGCTCCTCTAGTTTCTCAGGGGCTGATTACCCTCCTCCCTCCCCAGCTTCTCTCGTTTCTCAGGGGCTGATTACCCTCCTCCCTCCCCAGCTCCTCTCGTTTCTCAGGGGCTGATTACCCTCCTCCCTCCCCAGCTCCTCTCGTTTCTCAGGAGCTGATTACCCTCCTCCCTCCCCAGCTCCACTCGTTTCTCAGGGGCTGATTACCCTCCTTCCTCCCCAGCTCCTCTCGTTTCTCAGGAGCTGATTACCCTCCTCCCTCCCCAGCTCCTCTCGTTTCTCAGGAGCTGATTATCAGCTCCTGAGTTTACGGCTGATTACCCTCCTCCCTCCCCAGCTCCTCTCGTTTCTCAGGAGCTGATTACCCTCCTCCGTCCCCAGCTCCTCTCGTTTCTCAGGAGCTGATTACCCTCCTCCCTCCCCAGCTCCTCTCGTTTCTCAGGAGCTGATTACCCTCCTCCGTCCCCAGCTCCTCTCGTTTCTCAGGAGCTGATTACCCTCCTCCCTCCCCAGCTCCTCTCGTTTCTCAGGAGCTGATTACCCTCCTCCCTCCCCAGCTCCTCTCGTTTCTCAGGAGCTGATTACCCTCCTCCGTCCCCAGCTCCTCTCGTTTCTCAGGAGCTGATTACCCTCCTCCCTCCCCAGCTCCTCTCGTTTCTCAGGAGCTGATTATCAGCTCCTGAGTTTACGGCTGATTACCCTCCTCCCTCCCCAGCTCCTCTCGTTTCTCAGGAGCTGATTACCCTCCTCCGTCCCCAGCTCCTCTCGTTTCTCAGGAGCTGATTACCCTCCTCCCTCCCCAGCTCCTCTCGTTTCTCAGGAGCTGATTACCCTCCTCCCTCCCCAGCTCCTCTCGTTTCTCAGGAGCTGATTACCCTCCTCCGTCCCCAGCTCCTCTCGTTTCTCAGGAGCTGATTACCCTCCTCCCTCCCCAGCTCCTCTCGTTTCTCAGGAGCTGATTACCCTCCTCCCTCCCCAGCTCCTCTCGTTTCTCAGGAGCTGATTACCCTCCTCCGTCCCCAGCTCCTCTCGTTTCTCAGGAGCTGATTACCCTCCTCCCTCCCCAGCTCCTCTCGTTTCTCAGGAGCTGATTACCCTCCTCCGTCCCCAGCTCCTCTCGGTTCTCAGGAGCTGATTACCCTCCTCCGTCCCCAGCTCCTCTCGGTTCTCAGGGGCTGATTACCCTCCTCCCTCCCCAGCTCCTCTCGTTTCTCAGGAGCTGATTACCCTCCTCCGTCCCCAGCTCCTCTCCTTTCTCAGGAGTGATTACCCTCCTCCGTCCCCAGCTCCTCTTGTTTCTCAGGAGTGATTACCCTCCTCCGTCCCCAGCTCCTCTAGTTTCTCAGGGGCTGATTACCCTCCTCCCTCCCCAGCTTCTCTCGTTTCTCAGGGGCTGATTACCCTCCTCCCTCCCCAGCTCCTCTCGTTTCTCAGGGGCTGATTACCCTCCTCCCTCCCCAGCTCCTCTAGTTTCTCAGGGGCTGATTACCCTCCTCCCTCCCCAGCTTCTCTCGTTTCTCAGGGGCTGATTACCCTCCTCCCTCCCCAGCTCCTCTCGTTTCTCAGGGGCTGATTACCCTCCTCCCTCCCCAGCTCCTCTCGTTTCTCAGGAGCTGATTACCCTCCTCCCTCCCCAGCTCCACTCGTTTCTCAGGGGCTGATTACCCTCCTCCCTCCCCAGCTCCTCTCGTTTCTCAGGAGCTGATTACCCTCCTCCCTCCCCAGCTCCTCTCGTTTCTCAGGAGCTGATTATCAGCTCCTGAGTTTACGGCTGATTACCCTCCTCCCTCCCCAGCTCCTCTCGTTTCTCAGGAGCTGATTACCCTCCTCCGTCCCCAGCTCCTCTCGTTTCTCAGGAGCTGATTACCCTCCTCCCTCCCCAGCTCCTCTCGTTTCTCAGGAGCTGATTACCCTCCTCCGTCCCCAGCTCCTCTCGTTTCTCAGGAGTGATTACCCTCCTCCGTCCCCAGCTCCTCTCGTTTCTCAGGAGTGATTACCCTCCTCCGTCCCCAGCTCCTCTTGTCTCAGTCAGGATTCTCTTGGCATTCTGATTCCCCTTGAATCAGACCAAATTCTCCCATTATGTTGTACTTTAAAATCTTGAATTAATGATATCTGCCACACAGACCAGCAATCCCAACTGTGTGCTAATTTGTCAATCGTATTTGACGATAGTGGTCCTGACAGAACAGGTGTTTATCTGCTGTGTGTGTGTGTGTGTGTTTGTAGAGATCAGTGAGATGGGCGAGCGCATGTCTCGGGTGTTCTCGTCCTCCATCAGGGCGAGTGTGAGGTGTGATCCTCCGCGGGGTCAGCCGGAGCCTCAGGTGTGGTGGGAGCGCGCTGGTGCTCGTGTGGCGTCTGAGGGTCGAGTCCACCAGCGCGACAGAGACCTGATCTTCAGCAACACACACACCTCAGACTCGGGCCTCTACACCTGCGTCGCTCGCAACCAGGCCGGAACCAAGCAGCAGGAGCTCGAGGTCACTGTCGCCAGTGAGTCACACACTGATCTGACCCAACACACACTCATCTGACCCAACACACACTCATCTGACCCAACACACACTCATCTGCCCTAGCACACACTCATCTGACCCAATACACACTGATCTGACCCAACACACACTCATCTGACCCAAAACACACACTGATCTGACCCAACACACACTGATCTGACCCAACACACACTCATCTGACCCAACACACACTCATCTGACCCAACACACTCTGATCTGACCCAACATATAGTCATCTGACCCAACACACACTGATCTGACCCAACACTCACTCATCTGACCCAACACACACTCATCTGACCCAACACACACTCAACTGACCCAACACACACTGATCTCAAAGTTGCGTAGTTCTCATTGTACCTCGAACTACCTTAAATGCTTTAAGTGACCGTTACAGTGTGTGTGTGTGTGTGTGTGTGTGTTTACAGCCTCTCCAGAGTGGATTGTGAGGCCGCAGGACACACACATCGAGGAGGGTCAGCCGGGTCTCCTGCACTGTCACGCTCAGGGAACACCTGAACCCCGGGTCACATGGTACCGCAAAAGCGTCCCGATCAGTGAGGAGGTGAACACACTCATCATGGTCTGATCAGGTGACCTCGCGTCAGGTTTCTCACACACACACACACTCTCTCTCTGCAGGGCTCTCGTTATAAGCTCTTCTCTAACGGGACTCTGAGGATCAACAGCGCTGAGGTGAACGATGGTCAGATGTTCAGCTGCACGTGTGTGTCAGAGGGAGGATCCATCAGCGCACACGCACGCGTTCACATACTGGGTGAGTGTGAGTGTGTGTGTGTGTGTGTGTGTGCACCGAATACAAACTAATGATGCTGAGACTTTCACAGTTGAAACAACACTCTCCTAGCATTAGGATCGTTTGGAAGGTAATGGTATTGATCCTGTGTCGATCTTTACTCGTTCTCATGTAATATTCACTAACGCTGCAGTGGGCGGGGCCAAAGACGCGTGACGCAGACGTAGGCGTTGATGTTCTTCTGCACTATTACGTCATAATTCCACACTTTTCAGATCCTGACGTTTTCTGGCCTTGATCTCAATAAAAGCTTTAAAAGCAAAAAGCAACATTTTTGAAATATCAAGGAAGTTTTGAGTTTTGAAACTTACAGGATATTTTTAGTTTAGTTAAACTGTCTCCAATCAGGTGACATCAGGTGTTTGTTTTGTGCAGATATAAATTCTGTTTCGTTGTGGTTTGCGTGCCGTTACATCACGGCACGTTTGAGTGCCAGCTTTACTCATGTGTGTGTGATGTGTCTCTCAGAGAGGTTAAAGTTCACGCCCGTCCCGCAGCCGGCGCAGTGTGTGCAGCTGGAGAGAGAGAGCAGCATCAGCTGTGTGGCGACCGGGCGAGAGACACCCACTGTACACTGGAGCAGAGCAGGTCAGAGAACAACCCCAACTCTGACTATCCTTTCATTTAAATCATTTAAATTCATTTAAAATTCACAGAGCAACTCAAATGACTGCTGGTCACTAATATATCAAGATTTAGATCACGTGACCTCTGCTGTCTGCTTTCCCATTGGTTGTCGCTGTATCGTGTCACTGCTCTTTTGCATAGTCACATCACCAGCGCTGACTTAAACTGAACTTCCTGGTGTCAGTGTGAACATGCGTGTTTCTCCCGTGTGTGTCTTGTGTGTGTGTGTCTCGTGTCGTGTGTGTGTGTGTGTGTGTGCCAACAGACGGCGCTGATCTCCCGCCTCACGCGACTCAGATGAAAGGAATTCTTCACTTCAGTACCGTGAGCCGATCCGACGGAGGAAACTACACGTGTGTGGCGTCCAGCAGCGCTCAGGGAGAGATACGAGCACACGTGCATCTCACTGTAGGAGGTGTGTGTGTGTGTGTGTGTGTGTGTGTTCTGATTGAACGCTGAGGTTGATGACTCGTTCTTGTTCACCTGTGTGTGTGTGTGTGTGTGTGTGTGTGTGTATGTTCTGATTGAATGCTGTGGGTGATGACTCGTTCTTGTTCACCTGTGTGTGTGTGTGTGTGTGTGTGTATGTTCTGATTGAACGCTGTGGTTGATGACTCGTTCTTGTTCACCTGTGTGTGTGTGTGTGTGTGTGTGTGTATGTTCTGATTGAATGCTGTGGGTGATGACTCGTTCTTGTTCACCTGTATGTGTGTGTGTTGTCAGTCCTCGTGGAGTTTAAGCTGGAGCCGGAGCAGACGACGGTGTATCAGGGTCACACAGCCGTGCTTCACTGTCAGGCGTCAGGAGACCCTCGGCCCTACATCCAGTGGAGCATCAGAGACCGACTGCTCAGCAGCAGCTCCAGCAGGTCTCACTGCACCCGTCTCACTGCATCTGCCTCTCTGCACCCGTCTCACTGCGCCCGTCTCACTGCACCCGTCTCACTGCACCCGTCTCACTGCGCCCGTCTCACTGCACCCGTCTCACTGCACCCGTCTCACTGCGCCCGTCTCACTGCGCCCGTCTCACTGCGCCCGTCTCACTGCGCCCGTCTCACTGCACCCGTCTCACTGCATCTGCCTCTCTGCACCCGTCTCACTGCGCCCGTCTCACTGCACCCGTCTCACTGCACCCGTCTCACTGCACCCGTCTCACTGCGCCCGTCTCACTGTGCCCGTCTCACTGCGCCCGTCTCACTGCACCCGTCTCACTGCGCCCGTCTCACTGCGCCCGTCTCACTGCGCCCGTCTCACGGCGCCCGTCTCACTGCGCCCGTCTCACTGCGCCGTCTCACTGCGCCCGTCTCACTGCGCCCGTCTCACTGCACCCGTCTCACTGCGCCCGTCTCACTGCACTGCGCCCGTCTCACTGCACCCGTCTCACTGCGCCCGTCTCACTGCGCCCGCCTCACTGCACCCGTCTCACTGCGCCCGTCTCACTGCACCTGCCTCACTGCACCCGTCTCACTGCGCCCGTCTCACTGCACCCGTCTCACTGCACCCGTCTCACTTCGCCCGTCTCACTTCGCCCGTCTCACTGCGCCCATCTCACTGCTCCCGTCTCACTGCACCCGTCTCACTGCGCCCATCTCACTGCGCCCGTCTCACTGCACCCGTCTCACTGCGCACGTCTCACTGCGCCTGCCTCACTGCACCCGTCTCACTGCACCCGTCTCACTGCGCCCGTCTCACTGCACCCGTCTCACTTCGCCCGTCTCACTTCGCCCGTCTCACTGCGCCCATCTCACTGCTCCCGTCTCACTGCACCCGTCTCACTGCACCCGTCTCACTGCACCCGTCTCACTTCGCCCGTCTCACTGCGCCCATGTATCAGGGTCACACAGCCGTGCTTCACTGTCAGGCGTCAGGAGACCCTCGGCCCTACATCCAGTGGAGCATCAGAGACCGACTGCTCAGCAGCAGCTCCAGCAGGTCTCACTGCACCCGTCTCACTGCATCTGCCTCTCTGCACCCGTCTCACTGCGCCCGCCTCACTGCGCCCGTCTCACTGCTCCCGTCTCACTGCACCCGTCTCACTTCGCCCGTCTCACTCCGCCCGTCTCACTGCGCCCGTCTCACTGCGCCCGTCTCACTGCGCCCGTCTCACTGCGCCCGTCTCACTGCACCCGTCTCACTGCACCCGTCTCACTGCATCTGCCTCTCTGCACCCGTCTCACTGCGCCCGCCTCACTGCGCCCGTCTCACTGCGCCCGTCTCACTGCTCCCGTCTCACTGCACCCGTCTCACTTCGCCCGTCTCACTGCTCCCGTCTCACTGCTCCCGTCTCACTGCGCCCGTCTCACTGCTCCCGTCTCACTGCGCCCGTCTCACTGCGCCCGTCTCACTGCTCCCGTCTCACTGCGCCCGTCTCACTGCGCCCGTCTCACTGCGCCCGTCTCACTGCTCCCGTCTCACTGCACCCGTCTCACTGCGCCCGTCTCACTGCGCCCGTCTCACTGCGCCCGTCTCACTGCACCCGTCTCACTGCTCCCGTCTCACTGCGCCCGTCTCACTGCGCCCGTCTCACTGCTCCCGTCTCACTGCGCCCGTCTCACTGCACCCGTCTCACTGCGCCCGTCTCACTTCGCCCGTCTCACTGCACCCGCCTCACTGCACCCGTCTCACTGCACCTGTCTCACTGCACCCGCCTCACTGCACCCGTCTCACTACACCCGTCTCACTGCGCCCGTCTCACTGCGCCCGTCTCACTGCACCCGTCTCACTGCACCCGCCTCACTGCACCCGTCTCACTGCACCTGTCTCACTGCACCCGCCTCACTGCACCCGTCTCACTACACCCGTCTCACTGCGCCCGTCTCACTGCGCCCGTCTCACTGCACCCGTCTCACTGCGCCCGTCTCACTGCGCCCGTCTCACTGCACCCGTCTCACTGCACCCGTCTCACTGCACCCGCCTCACTGCGCCCGTCTCACTGCGCCCGTCTCACTGCGCCCGTCTCACTGCACCCGTCTCACTGCACCCGTCTCACTGCACCCGCCTCACTGCACCCGTCTCACTGCACCCGTCTCACTGCGCCCGTCTGATCCTCCTCGTGTGCTGATTGTGTGTGTGTTCTCCTCAGGTTTCAGAAGATGCCCAATGGCTCTCTGGTCATTAGTGATGTCACCACTGATGACACGGGCATGTACACCTGTATCGCGGGAAACACCTGCAACATCAGAGACACGACAGCGCAGCTTTACGTCGTGGGTGAGCAACTCAGACTTGGTTTGAATGATGCACAGATCTTATAGTGTTTGCAACTTCATTTCACATTTATATCTATAGCGCTTTATACAATACAGATTATTTCACAGTAATAGTGTTAATGTTGCGAAATGCATCAATTATGAAACAAGCTCAATTTGACAAGCTCTACAGAAGACAATAGTGTTATTATTCAGATGAATTCAGTTCAGTGTTGTTTCAATTCAGGTCAACAGCAGTTCAATGTGTGTCCTCATCCAGTGCAGTCGAATCAGCAGTTCCTGAAGGCTCAGTCTTTTAAACTGTTCATTAATGACTGTTATCCTAAAACTCTCCATCAGAAGCAGTGACCGAGATCCTATCAGAGGATCATCTTTAAGATTTATTTAGACAGTTTTTAGATCAGTATCTCAGTGGGTTAACTGATTTAAACTGGAAAACGTAAACCGCTACAGTTACACTGATTACATTTATGCATTTGGCCGATGCTTTTATCCAAAGCGACTTAAATTGCATTTCAAGGTTCACATTTACATTCTTATCAGCTGCTTTTACTGGGAGTCGAACCCATGAGCTTGGTGTTGCAAGCGCCAGCGCTCTACTGTTTGAGCTACACACATTACTACTACTCCTATATCACTTAGGGGAATAACTGTTTGTTCTGATTAATAATAGTACATGTGTGAGTGTCCCAGGGTAAAGGTGTTGACTGCGTGTCCCCAGAGAAGCCGGTGCACCCGCGCGACGGAGACGAGGACAGGAGCCAGTTCAGGATGTTCCAGACGATCGCGCTGTCGGTGGCCGTGGCCGTGGCCTACATCATCGCTGTGCTGGGGCTCATGTTCTACTGCAAACAGAGACGCAAGAGCAGGCGTCTGCAGAAGAGCCCTGCCGCTGAGGAGCCCGAGATGGAGTGTCTGAACGGTGTGTGTGTGTGTGTGTGTGTGTGTGTGTGATGGGTAGGTTTAGGGGTCGGGTTAGGGTGTGTGTGTGTGTGTGTGTATCATATGAGTAAGGGATAATGTAAATCCAGCCGGTTGTTATCTCAGAATAAACCCGACAGGGTGATCAGGATCAGGTCTACCTGTGTGTGGACTCTCTCACACACACACACACACACACACACACACACACACACACACACACACACACACACACACACACACACACACACACACACCTGAAGGGGGTTTATTCTGAGATAACACACACACACACACCTGAAGGGGTTTATTCTGAGATCACACACACACACACACACACACACACACACACACACACACACACCTGAAGGGGTTTATTCTGAGATAACACACACACACACACCTGAAGGGGTTTATTCTGAGATAACACACACACACCTGAAGGGGTTTATTCTGAGATCACTCTCTCTCACACACACACACACACACACACTCACACACACACACACACACACACACACACACCTGAAGGGGTTTATTCTGAGATCACACACACACACACACACACACACACACCTGAAGGGGTTTATTCTGAGATAACACACACACACACACACACACACCTGAAGGTGGTTTATTCTGAGATCACTCTCTCTCACACACACTCACACACACACACACTCGCACACACTCACACACACACACACACACACACACACACACACCTGAAGGGGGTTTATTCTGAGATCACTCTATCTCACACACACTCACACACACACACACTCGCACACACTCACACACACTCACACACACACACACACACACCTGAAGGGGTTTATTCTGAGATAACCGGCTGGATGTACATTATCCCTCTTATTACACGGCTACTTGCCACATAAGTAAATAATTAGACACAAAATATTGATCTGAGTGTAAACTGTAGCAATGTTCGTTGTTATGGGAAGAAGGAGGCGGGAACCGGCGAACATTTAAAGACTTTTAATAAATAAATAAACACATACAAAAACGAAAGTAAAAGACGGCCGCCACATATAAACACAACATCAGATAACAGTCCAGGCCTGGTCCTCTCTCGTCCTTCACTGTCCTCACTCCTCTTTATTTACAGATGAACCAGAGCAGACGAGCATCTGAAGTGTGTGTGTGTGTGTGTGTGTGTGTTCCCGTAGGTGGCGCTGGTCAGATGAACGGCCACAGGACGGCTGAGGTCCAGGAAGAAGTGGCTTTAACCACCATGAGACCTTCAGCAAACACTGACAAACTGCACTTTCCCAGAGCGCACCTGCAGACCATCACCACACTGGGTAACTCCTGTGGGAATGTTTCCACAGAAATATTACGTTTTCAACACTGATAATAATCATAAATGTGTCTTGAGCATCAGATCATCATATTAGAGTGATTTCTGAAGGATCATGTGACACTGAAGACTGGAGTAATGATGCTGGAAATTCAGTATATATTCACATAGAGAACAGATGATTTACATTACAATAATATTTCAGTGTTTTACTGTATTTTTTATCAAATAAATGCAGCTTTGATGAGCAGAAGAGACTCTTTATGAAATCTTATTATCCCAAACTTTTGAACACCAGCGTAAATATTTTGATATTATTATACCTTACTTAGAGAAATCTTAATATTGTTTAGTTATTAGTATTAGTTATAACTAAATTAAACATATTAGTTTCTTAATATTGTTTAATACATTGGTAGGTTTAGGGGTTGTGTGTGTGTGTGTATGTGTGTGTGTGTGTTTGTGTGTGTGTGTGATGGGAAGGTTTAAGGGTTGTGTGTGTGTATGTGTGTGTGTGTGTGTGTGTGTGTGTGTGTGTGTGTGTGTGTGTGTGTGTGTGTGTGTGTGTGTGTGTGTGTGTGTGTGTGTGTGTGTGTGTGATGGGTAGGTTTAAGGGTTGTGTGTGTGTGTGTGTGTGTGAGTGTGATGGGTAGGTTTAGGGATCGGGTTAGTGTGTGTGTGTGTGTGTGTGTCAAGTCAAGTCAAGTCACCTTTATTTATATAGCGCTTTTTACAATACAGATTGTATCAAAGCGCTTCACAGTGATAACATGAAAACAATATAACAAAGTTTGTTTCTAAAAGAAATTGCGTCAACGTCCACCTTAAGTAAAGCAGATCAATAATATTATTGAATATTAAATGTTAAATGTCCCCAACTAAGCAAGCCAAAAGCCAAGGCAACAGTGGCAAGGAACCAAAACTCCATCAGGTGACAGAATGGAGAAAAAAACCTTGGGAGAAACCAGACTCAGTCGGGGGGCCAGTTCTCCTCTGGCCAACGAAGGAACAGTGCATGATTCGGGCAGCATTACAAGTCAGATTGGATCGGAACATTTAGAGTATTTTTTGGAAGTCCAAGTTTGCACGCCGGTCTTAAGACGAGTTGTTGAGGATCAGTGCCGTCCACCATAGAGAGTCCATATCGCCCGTGTTGAGTCGTCACTTCATAGGCTTTGTGATTGGAGCATCTGAAGTCTCCGTGAGAGGCTGGATACAAACTGGAGCTGACGAACGCCATTTTCTCGGGACTCGCGTCCCGAGATAACAGCAGAAAAGCAAAGGGAAAATAATTAGCGTAGCTGCTGTTCATAATGATGATTTCCATAACACAGGCGTAAATGACAAAACATGAAGACAGTGACTCTTGCGTCCCAAAATCAACCCCCTCCGTCCCCCACTCAACTCAGCCTTGCTTACTGACCTCTACGTCCCTCCTGCTGCTGAGACCTAACCACAATCTCACAATCTCTCCGCAGCCCAACCATACGCGCCAACCCGTTGACTAAGGCTGTCGAGCCCCACTGGTGCGTGAATAGGCAGTTTCAGTGGACAACGGTTCCGTATGGCATACTACCTACCGCAACACAATATCTGCCCAACCACCCGTCATTCACGCAATATACACAGGAACGTAATGACTGCAAATACTATGCAACCTATACAGATAACCTACAGTCTCTTCAAGTTTTATAGTATTAAATGCATTTGATCTGATTCAGCAGTATAATAAAAGGTAAGCATTATGTAAATGCTTGGCTAAAAAGATGCGTCTTTAATCTAGTTTTGAACTGGGACAGCGAGTCAGAGCCTCGAACAATATCAGGAAGGCTATTCCAGAGTTTAGGAGCTAAATGTGAGAACGCCCTCCCTCCTTTAGTGGACTTAGATATCCTAGGAATGACTAGAAGCCTCGAATTTAGTGATCTTAAAGAACGCGATGGATTGTAGGGCGATAGAAGGTCCATTAAATACACAGGAGCTAAACCATTTAGGGCTTTATAGGTCAGTAATAGTACTTTGTAATTGATACGGAACTTGATAGGTAACCAGTGTAGAGATGATAAAATTGGTGTTATATGATCATATTTTCTTGATCTAGTAAGAACTCTAGCGGCTGCATTTTGCACTAACTGTAGCTTGTTTATTGAGGATGCAGGACAACCGGCTAATTTCCTCTAGTTCATCTGTTAGTTTGGGTTCACTGAGCAGCTGAGATAGATCAGGTAAGCTATTTGAGAATCTATCTATAGTGGTCGGAAGGATTGTTCTGCCTGGTCTATAACGTGGCGCAACATGACAAATTTCAGCAGTGCGTATTATACAAGTTACCATGTGATGATCGGTGAGATCGTCACTTTGCGGTATAATATCTATATCGGTTGGATCGGTTCCATATGATATAATTAAATCTAGTGTATGATTTAGACGATGAGTGGGACCACTGACATTTTGCTTGACCCCAAAGGAGTTTAATAAATCTGTAAACGCAGTCCCTAACGCATCGTTTGTGTTATCTACGTGTATGTTAAAATCTCCAACAATTATTGCTTTATCGGCATTGACCAATAGATCTGAGAGAAAGTCTGCAAACTCTTTTAGGAAATCAGCATATGGTCCTGGAGGTCTATATACAGTAGCCAAGGCTAGAGATAATAGGGATTTATTTCTTACATCTAAGAGCGCAACGTTTAGCACCAGTACTTCAAACGAATTAAACCTGTGACCTGTTTTCTGAGTAACATTAAGAATATCTCTATAGATTGTTGCAACTCCGCCGCCACGACCGATCAGACGGGGCTCATGCTTATAACAGTATCCTGGCGGAGTAGACTCATTTAGACCGAAATACTCGTTTGGTTTAAGCCAGGTTTCAGTAAGGCAAAGTACATCGAAGCTATTATCTGTGACCATTTCATTTACAATAACCGCCTTAGGTGTGAGCGATCTAATGTTTAGAAGACCTAGTTTTAGAAATTGTTTTTGTTCACTGATATTTAGATTTTCAGGTTTAATTACAATAAGATTTTTCCTAGATCCTACAGTGGATTTATTATTTGGCCTCACTAAACGAGGAATAGACACAGTTTCTATATAATGTTCTACACTACTTATATCAATTAAATTGGCACAGCAAAGACTGTGATTTGGAATTTGATTTTCTAGTCATACGGTGTGTAACGTCTTGGAGATGTTGTCCGACAGAACAGCCGCTCCGGCTCTGCTGGGGTGCAGGCCATCAGCACGGTAGAGCCTAGGTCGCTCCCAGAACAGATTCCAATTATTTACAAAGAGTAGTTTTTGTTCATTACACAATGACATTAACCATTCATTTAGTGCAAATAATCTACTGAACCTTTCTTGTCCTAGTCGGTACGTGGGAAGCGGTCCAGACACGATGATCGTTGCCTCAGGCGCTGTGCTGCGTACCGCCTCGATCAGGCTCCTGTAGTCCTTCTTCAGAACCTCCGTCTGCCGCAGCCTGATATCGTTTGTTCCAGCGAGAAGCACCACAGCTCCGACGCGCTCGTCACCGTTCAGGATCTGGGGAACCTGTGCGGCGACATCAAGAACACGAGCACCAGGAAGGCAGTGAGTGCGCACCTTACCCTTACCTGAGGTAGCGCGGACATGACGGACCATGGAAGTGCCGATGATCACGGCGTCGTCGCGTTCCGACTCGCGAAGAGGGGAGAAGCGGTTCCGGGTGGAGATCTCGAAGACCGGGAGGAGCGGAGAGGTTCTTGCTCTGGTCCTGGCTCGCGTCTTCCGCTGTGGGATCACCCAGAGTCCATTGTGTTGGGTTGGTGCCGGAGTGAATGATGCCAGAGATGATCGCGTCCTCCTGGGCAGAGAAACGCACGGAGTGGACGAAGTCGGAGTCAAAAAGTTACTAACCACTGACTTGTGAGCATCGGCGCGTGACGTTTCAAGCGCTGATCGCCGATCCCGCAGCTCGGCTTGCCTCTCCAGCAGACCACGGATCTGTTTCTCCACCGAATCAAGCTCCAATCGTACCGAAATCAGTTCGAATGTATCCTCACCTGCACTCAGAGGTAACGTTAGACACACATCTGATATGTTCGCCATAACAGATGAACAGTAGATTAGTAGTGATACTACCACTAGTAATTTAGGACTGAAATGCCGGATATAACCTGTATCCTTTCAGTGAAACGGGTGTAAAATCAGACGGTCAATAGGCGCGAGGCCACGCGTGAAATGCTAGCGGACTAAAGGCTAGTAGCCGAGATTCGCAAAGTTGGGTCTAAGTAGCGATATCAAAGCAATCCGATTGTTTTTTATAAGGAACAGTATCGAGGATAAGTTCCCATGATATAAAAATAGAAAGTGCTTGTTTATAAATGAGTGGTAAAGAAGAAAATCAAGGATTAATGAATTGATTCGACGGAGCTTTCAAACACAAACACCGACTGCTCGCGCAATGGGTGATGGGTAGGTTTAGGGGTCGGATTAGTGTGTGTGTGTGTGTGTGTGATTTGGTAGGTTTAGGGGTTGGGTTAGTGTGTGTGTGTGTGTGTGTGTGTGTGTGTGATGGGTAGGTTTAGGGGTCGGGTTAGTGTGTGTGTGTGTGTGTGTGTGTGTGTGTGATGGGTAGGTTTAGGGGTCGGGTTAGTGTGTGTGTGTGTGTGTGTGTGTGTGTGATGGGTAGGTTTAGGGGTCGGGTTAGTGTGTGTGTGTGTGTGTGTGTGTGTGTGATGGGTAGGTTTAGGGGTCGGGTTAGTGTGTGTGTGTGTGTGTGTGTGTGTGTGTGTGTGTGTGTGTGTGTGTGTGTGTGAGGGGTAGGTTTAGGGGTCGGGTTAGTGTGTGTGTGTGTGTGTGTGTGATGGGTAGGTTTAGGGGTCGGGTTAGTGAGTGTGTGTGTGTGTGTGTGTGTGTGATGGGTAGGTTCAGGGGTCAGGTTAGTGTGTGTGTGTGTGTGTGTGTGTGTGTGTGTGTGTGTGTGTGTGTGTGTGTGTGTGTGTGTGTGTGTGTGTGTGTGTGTGTGTGTGATGGGTCGGGTTAGTGTAAGAAGAGAGAATATACAGTCTGTACAGTATAAAAGCCATCACGCCTATGGAATATCCCCATTTAGCCAAGTAAACGTGTGTGTGTGTGTGTGTGTGTGTGCAGGGTGTGGCGTGTTCGGCGAGGTGTTTCTGGCTAAAGCGAGGGCTATAGAGGAGTCCGAGGACGAGACGCTGGTGTTGGTGAAGAGTTTACAGAGTCGAGATCAGGAGTCCGAGTTCAGACGAGAGATGCAGATGTTCAGCAAACTCAAACACACACACATCGTGAGGCTGCTGGGAGTCTGCCGAGAAGCTCACCCGCAATACATGATCCTGGAATACGTGGATCTGGTACAGCCACTCACACACACACGCAAACACACACACACACACACACACACACACACACACACACACACACACACACACACACACACACACACACACACACACAGACACACACACACACACACACACACACACACACAGACACACACACACACACACACACACACACACACACAGACAGACACACACACACACACAGACAGACACACACACACACACACACACACACAGACAGACACACACACACACACACACACAGACAGACACACACACACACACACACACACACACACACACAGACAGACACACACACACACACACACACACGCGCACACACACACACACACATCGTGAGGCTGCTGGGAGTCTGCCGAGAAACTCACCCGCAATACATGATCCTGGAATACGTGGATCTGGTACAGCCACTCACACACACACGCAAACACACACACACACACACACACACACACACACACACACACACACACACAGACAGACACACACACACACACACACACAGACACACACACACACACACACACACACACACAGACAGACACACACACACACACAGACAGACACACACACACACACACACACACACAGACAGACACACACACACACACACACAGACAGACACACACACACACACACACACACACACACACACAGACAGACACACACACACACACACACACACGCGCACACACACACACACACATCGTGAGGCTGCTGGGAGTCTGCCGAGAAACTCACCCGCAATACATGATCCTGGAATACGTGGATCTGGTACAGCCACTCGCACACACACGCAACACACACACACACACACACACACACACACACACACACACACAGACAGACACACACACACACACACACACACACACACACACACACACACAGACAGACACACACACACACACACAGACAGACAGACACACACACACACACACACACACACACACAGACAGACACACACACACACACACACACATCGTGAGGCTGCTGGGAGTCTGCCGAGAAACTCACCCGCAATACATGATCCTGGAATACGAGGATCTGGTACAGCCACTCACACACACACATGCACACACACACACACACACTCACACTGATTCGCTCTTGTTTTTCAGGGTGATCTCAAGCAGTTCCTCAGGATATCAAACAGCAGCGATGGGAAACTCAAGCCTCATCCCATCAGCACCAAAACTAAAGTAAGTTCCCATAACCTCATTCAGTGTGTTTAAGAAGTCATGTGACTCGGTGTTGATCATGTGACTGCTCTCTGCAGCTCTCCATCTGTGCCCAGGTGGCTGATGGGATGCAGCATTTATCAGACCAGCGTTTCGTGCATAAAGACCTGGCGGCCAGGAACTGTCTGATCAGCGGACAGAGACTCGTCAAAGTGTCCGCGCTGGCGCTCAGCAGAGACGTCTACAACAGGTGCAGCACTACTGACGGCCTATCAGGCAGAGTGTGTGAGACAGCTGGTTATGAATGTGAACGATCTGCAGTGTTTCAAAGATCAAAGTTATTGTGAATGAAAGAAAAAAGAAAGAACTGATTCTGAACTGAAACGAGTCCTCAGTAATTCAGTCTCACCTGTAGATTTGTAACTCATTTGCATAATGCCAGCCTGAGGTCTTGATTGGCTGAGCAGCGTCTCTTAGCTCCGCCCTCAAACACTAGTGTATCTGAGACTGGGAGAGTTCGTGTTGTTCGTGTCGAGGAGACGCTGTTTTCTGAGAGCGAGACGGTGAAACCCACGCCATCGTCACTGTTCGTATCGCTGTGATCAAGAGCTGAGATTCAGATATGATAATGAGCGTTTGATGTCTGACCAATCACAGCAGAGCAGCTCCCAGAGAGGCGGGGCTTAGACATTTACATTTACATTTATTCATTTAGCAGACGCTTTTATCCAAAGCGACTTACAAATGAGAACAATAGAAGCAGTTAAACTAACAGAAGGACAACAATACGTAAGTGCTATAACCCCTCTCAGTTTAATTTTAGTGCAGTTTTTTTTTTTTTTTTTTTTTTTTATAGAAGAGAAGAGAAAGTGTTAATTCTACTGAATCAAGTGCTGCCGAAAAAGATATGTCTTCAGCAGTTTCTTGAAAGTGGCTACTGACTCAGAAGCTCTGGTTGAGGGAGGCAGATCATTCCACCAACAGGGAACAGCCATGGTAAAGGTCCGAGAAAGAGATTTTGTGCCTCTTTGAGATGGTACCACAAGACGACATTCGCTAGCAGAGCGCAGGTTTCTGGATGGCACATAAGTCTGAAGTAATGAGTTTAGGTAAGAGGGAGCAGTGCCAGTGGTTGTTCTGTAGGCAAACGTCAGTGCCTTGAATTTAATGCGAGCGGCAACTGGCAACCAGTGCAATTGTGTGAGGAGAGGAGTGACGTGTGCTCTCTTCGGCTCATTGAAGACTACTCTGGCTGCAGCATTCTGGCTTAGAGAGGCTGAATTTTCGATCGAAGCGTTTCAGACACTGAGGTCTTGGCCTGATAAATACAGTTCTACCAGAAAGACTCAGGAGAATAAATACTGTAACAATAAATACATTTATTGATAGCCCAGCAAGCAATAAAGTTCTTTGGCGTAGGCCCCGTCCATAGCTCGCAATCCGAGGGTCCGGACTCTGCATCTCCTGCCTGAAGACGAAGGCAGGGGCGCAGCCGACCCCCCGGGAGGGTTAGGAAGGGGCCATCCTGGTGGTGGTGGGGAGGATGGAGGGGAATGAAAGCGTCAGCATCTGCGAACTCAAACATGTGTAAGTACTGGTCTTTTATACCGCAAGTATTAGACACGATTGGATAGATGAGAAGGTAATAAGTGACGTAGCAATTGAGTCTTCCTGGCAGAACCTAACGCTAAAGCTTCCATTGATCCTGCTAGAACAGTTGCGTGATACCTTTTTTATTGTCTTGTTTTGTCTGTATCGTCTCAGAGAGCTTTCATGAGTGTTCACATGGAGACGAGCGTATTTAGGCCACGCCCCCATCGGGGGGGAACAATCCAACCGTCTGCATTGACTGTGCATTGTGAGAGGCTGCCTCCTGACTTATAAGTTAGAACAAAAAACAAAACAATGTCTAAAAGCTGCTGTGTGACAAGGTGTACAGCAAACAAGCTAAATAACCCAAAAATACATTTTTATAAGCTGTCGACCCCAAAAAACGGTTGTTTCAGGACAAAAAAAAGTGGATCAAGAGCGCAACTAGTTCTTGAACTGCTCTGAGAACTGGAACGCGACATGATATTGTAAAAAAATCATAATTTTAACCATGTCGATTGCTTATTTCACGACCCTGTGTGAACCTGACAGGAGGAGATATACTGAGAAGTTACATTTCATTGGTCTATGTCAGTGCCCCTTTTCCTTACCTTCCTTTTTTTGGAAAAATGATCCGACTGAATGTGAAATACCCTGATATCTACAACTATTGATAATGATATCTCATTTCACCTATGATCAAAACACACTGTTACTAAAATAATGGGACAAGTTAGCTATTAGAAAGCTATATTAGCTATATATATATTAGCTATGTGTGCAAGTAGCTGTAGCTTGGGCCAATTGCTTTCTATGTCAGATAAATGCTATTGGTTTGTTACCAGTGACAAAATGTTTACCCACAATTTACCCATTCTTCCTGCTGATGCTTCACTTCTTATTGCCTGTATCCACTCTTGTCTCCTTAAAGGCTGGCTTTTACGGTTCGTAAGCTTATAAAAATGTATTTCTGGGTTATTTAGCTTGTTTGCTGTACACCTTGTCACACAGCAGCTTTTAGGCATTTTTCTGTCTTTTGTTATAAGGAGGCAGCCTCTCACAGTGCAGTCAATGGAGAGGGTTGGGTTGTGTCCCCCGGTGGGCGTGGTCTTCAGATTATGAGCGTTGCGCTCTCTCTCTATTCGCTGTAAGGGGAGTTTAGCGTTTTCCGACGTTTCAGTGTGGAAAACGCTTATGTAGACGGAGAGATTCAGATCTACATATTACAACATTCCAATATATTATCCAACATATGATGAGAACTTCAGTGTTTTTGGCCCTCGGATGCATGTGAACCTGTTGTAGGAGACGCCTGAAACTAATTAATTAGCCTTTAAAATAGTATAAAAGGAAAACTTGAGGTGCTTCTCCTGTGAGATCTGGTGCAAAGCTTCTGGGCATCAGTCTTTACACGCATGAAGAGCGCCATCTAGTGTTGATGTCAGTCAGTCACCGCTGGTCTGGTGTGTGTGTGTGTGTGTGTGTGTGTGTGTGTGTGTGTGTGTGTGCAATGGGTCGGTTTAGGGGTTGGGTTTGTGTAAGGGGACAGAATATACCATTTCTACAGTATGAAAACCATTACGTATATGGAATGTATCCATTTAAATAGCTAAGTAAACGTGTGTGTGTGTGTGTGTGTGTGTGTGTGTGTGTGTGTGTGTGTGTGTGCAGCGAGTACCACCTCTACAGGCAGGCCTGGCTGCCCCTGCGCTGGCTCCCGGCTGAGGCCGTGTTTGACAGCGAGTTCTCCAGTCAGTCAGACGTGTGGGCGTTCGCTGTGCTCATGTGGGAAGTGTTCAGTCTCGGAGAGATGCCGTACCATCAGCTCGATCATCAGCAGCTGCTCGAAGGTGAGCACGTCACATGACCACCGACGTCACATGACCACAGACGTCACATGACCACCAACGTCACATGACCACCGACTCACATGACCACCGACGTCACATGACCACCGACTCACATGACCACCGACTCACATGACCACCGACGTCACATGACCACCGACTCACATGACCACCGACGTCACATGACCACCGACTCACATGACCACAGACGGCAGATATGATCTGCTGTTGATGAATTATGAAGTGTTTACTTTATGGTGTTTATTGTATTATGTTGTAAAATGCATATTTTATCTCCCTCGTCTTTTTGAATGAGCATCTGGAAGTAGTAAAGTATAGACATCATAAAAATTATCAATCAACCTCTAAGTTGTATGTTTTGATATATTAGTTAAAGGGGTCATATAATGGTGCATGCACTTTCACAAGTTGATTGTACTGAAATGTGTGTTGGCAGTGTCTGTACACAACCATCATATAATGATACAAATCCATCCAGTGTTTTTGTTTTAATCTCCTTATATGTTTTCCCCTGCCTCAAATCCAGCCGTTCGACCGTGTGACGTCACTAAAACGGAAGCCCCTCCCACGATTGTTGATTGACAGGAGCGTTTCAACACAGACCCGCCCTCGCTCATGAGGGAGCTGTCAATCATAGTCTGCGCGGACCGGCGCGGTCATTGTTGATATGCTGGAGCTGTCTATGAGCAGAATGGCTCTAAGCGATTGTGGTGTTCTGTTCTTGGGTGTAATAACGAACACAGTCATTTTAATGTTCCTAAATCCGAACCGCTGAAGACGCAGTGGCTGAGTTTGTTTTCGAAGGGAATATTCCCCACGAGCAACGTCAATGCTCTCATGTTTGCGCGAATCATTTCTCACCAGACTGCTTTATAGACGAGGGTCAGTATAAAGCTGGTTTTGCTGAGAAGCTGCTCATGAAAAAAGGGTCGGTACCAGATATTCGTGTTCCTGCTGAACCTCTAGAACAACTGAAGTGAGTGTAACGTTTTATTAAACTTTATATTAATATATTAATCTTTGCAAATCGCTAGCTGCACACTTCACGATGAATGCGGCTAAGGTTTACACTCAGGGTACATTACGGCATGTTTTCTTTGTATGACGTTCTCAATATAATTCATAATCCCACGTTTATACTGAACAACGCGTTATGGTTATTGTGTTATTGTGTTACAAACGGTGTACGCACAGAACAGAGGGGCGGAGTCAGCAAAGCTCATTATCATTTAAAGGCATATGCACTGAAACGGCGTGCTGAAAACAGAGCTGTTTTTGACCAGGTAAAATAACTGTTTTCTTACAATACTAATGAGAATTTTTAATTAAAGTATATTTCAAACTTTTAATTTAGACCCTAAAGAATCATATTAGCTTGTACAAAAATGGCATTATATGACCCCTTTAAGAAACCAATTGCTATATATATATATATATATATATATATATTTTGATTAAAACATTTATTAAAGTCATTTATTTTGAGATTGTAAAGACAGTATTTGTGCAGGTCTTAGCTGTGATTGTACAGTATAAGAGCGAGTCTCGTGTGTGTGTGTGTGTGTGTGTGTGTGTCAGCTCTGCAGGCTGGTCATGTGACCCCGTCTCCTCCTGAAGGCTGTCCGGCTCACGTCTGCACTCTGATGATGCGCTGCTGGGCGTCCAGTCCTAAAGATCGGCCGTCCTTCAGCGAGATCGCTCAGACTCTGGCCCGTGTGCCCGCAGACACTAAAGTCTAGCGCGTCGCATCACTGCAGCCACACACACACACACTTCAGACGCGCTCAGGATCAGGCCTTCACCCGCCTTAAACACACACTTCATCTGTCGTCCGGTCGAAGCTTCTTTCCTCAGGGACGCCAGAAGAGCTTCACGTCAGAACTGTGACCTCTGACCTCTAGACAATCACTGCTCCATCAGGCCACAGATGCAGGAGGAGGAATCAGTGTGTGTGTGTGTGTGTGTGTGTGTGTGAGAGAGATATGTAGTGTTTCCACAGGATGATGTCACATCAGGAAACGCATCGCTAGTGGAGACGGAAATACACACACTGCAAAAAATGATGTTCTTCCTCAGTATTTTTGATCTTTTTTATTTTTTTGTACTTTTTTTGTAATATTTGTTCTTGTTTCAAGCATAAACTCGTGCATTTCTCAGAAAGCAAGACTCGATATCTCCAGTCATGCTTCTTCTCCAGTGAATGCATCTCGATGTAAGAGTGTGTAGTGCTGGAAACAGAGACACTGAGGAAGAGGAGGATCGACTGCGGTGTCATGATGGACGTTTAAGGGGAAAGAGAGATTGTTCGTTACGATAATATGATCTTTATGTTTCTTCGAGGTGCTCACAAGTGACTGTGTTGTTGTAATAAATGAATATGCAATGCCTCAGATTAAGCCATGATTAATCACAGTTTTGTCTTTATGTGTCAGTGTCTGAAAGCCAGCGCTTCAGATGTGATGGAGATCAGCGTGTCCACTAGAGGGCCTCAGGGGTCACCGGACACACGAGCGGGGAGCTGCTTTACCACAGAAGAACACATATAAAACATAATTACGACTTGTCTTTTTATCTCACAATTGCGTGTTATAAAGTCAGAATTGCGAGATATAAACATGCAATTCTGGGAAAAAGTCAGAATTACGAGTTTATTTCTCACAATTCTCACTTTATAACACGCAATTGTGAGATAAAAAGTCGAAATTACCTTTTTATTGTGTATTCTGTGACTGTGGCGGACATATAAAGCTTTCACAACTAAAACTCCAGATAGGTTTTGTCTTTGATTCTGGAAAAGTCATGGGAATTAATATAGCATATATATTTTACTAGTTATGCCAAGCTCTGAGATATTTTATCAGGTAGTTGTGAGCAAACTAAACATGTAATTTAATTAATTAATCTGTCCTGACAGAAGACTGGAAGAGTTCTGTCGATTAGAAAGCGTTTTGAAAACCAATCTATCCATAACTGCAGAAATTACTGTTAGCATTGTGTGTTTAGTGTGTGTTTATTCCCCGTCCCGATAACAGGTCGACTCGGACTGTTACTGATAAAGTGCCTCGGACATGAAGGACTTATTTCTCTGTTTCTCTGGTTTTTTAAAGTGTGTTTTGTAATGGCCGTTAATGCTTTTTTTTTTTTTTTTTTAAGAACTGCTTTTATATAATCGTTTCATATGTATTTTTATGATTGTTGTTTTCAATCGAGTTGTCTGTGCGAGTGTGTTCATTATTGTGGTCTCACACACACCGTGATGTAATGCTGCTCATTAAACAGTTTTTAACAGCCTGGCTGTGTGTGTGTGTGTGTGTGTGTGTGTGTGTGTGTGTGTGTGTGTGTGTGTGTGCTCCAGAGTCCCGGATCTGCTCTCTCTCCGTGTGGGATTGATCACATGATGCAGTTATTATATCAGATGGTGAATCTGGTGATGATTATCAGACACACACTGTGGCGTTTCAACCATAATCACAGAAGACTGATGTTCCAACACGGTATTTCTGGCACTGATTATCCGTGTTTCCTCTGTTACACTAATAATCCTCATCACTACTGTGGGTTCATATATAGGACAGCAGAGGGCGCTGTGTGTGTGTGAGAGAGAGAGAGAGTCGAGAGAGAGAGCGTTTGTGTACGTGTGTGTGTGTGTGTGTGTGTGTGTGTGTGTGTGTGTGTGTGTGAGAGAGAGAGAGAGTGTGTGTGTGTGTGTGTGTGAGAGAGCGCGTTTGTGTACGTGCGTGTGAGAGAGAGAGAGCGTTTGTGTACGTGTGTGTGAGAGAGAGAGAGTGTGTGTGTGTGTGTGTGTGTGTGAGAGCGCGTTTGTTTGTGTACGTGTGTGTGTGAGAGAGAGTGAGTGTGTGTGTGTGAGCGAGAGAGAGTGTGTGTGTGTGCTGGGAATGATGTGTGTGTGCTGGGAATGATGTGTGTGTGTGTGTGTGTGTGTGTGTGTGTGTGTGTGTGTGTGTGTGTGCTGGGAATGATGTGTGTGTGTGCTGGGAATGATGTGTGTATGTGTGTGTGCTGGGAATGATGTGTGTGTGTGTGTGTGTGTGTGTGTGTGTGTGTGTGTGTGTGTGTGTGTGTGTGTGTGTGTGTGTGTGTGTGTGCTGGGAATGATGTGTGTGTGTGCTGGGAATTATGCGTGTGTGTGTGTGCTGGGAATGATGTGTGTGTGTGTGTGTGTGTGTGTGTGCTGGGAATGATGTGTGTGTGTGTGTGTGTGCTGGGAATGATGTGTGTGTGTGCTGGGAATGATGTGTGTGTGTGCTGGGAATGATGTGTGTGTGTGTGCTGGGAATGATGTGTGTGCTGGGAATGATGTGTGTGTGTGCTGGGAATGATGTGTGTGTGTGTGTGTGTGTGTGTGCTGGGAATGATGTGTGTGTGTGCTGGGAATGATGTGTGTGCTGGGAATGATGTGTGTGTGTGCTGGGAATGATGTGTGTGTGTGTGCTGGGAATGATGTGTGTGTGTGCTGGGAATGATGTGTGTGTGTGTGTGTGTGTGTGTGTGTGTGTGTGCTGGGAATGATGTGTGTGTGTGTGTGTGTGTGTGTGTGTGTGCGCTGGGAATGATGTGTGTGTGTGTGTGTGTGTGTGTGTGTGTGTGTGTGTGTGTGTGTGTGTGTGTGTGTGTGTGTGTGTGTGTGTGTGTGTGTGTGTGTGTGTCTGCTGGGAATGATGCGTGTGTATGAACTATTGCCGGTCAGAAGCACATCTCTGCCTCATGAAGGCAATCATACTCTGGAAAATCATTAAAAATGAAAAGTTGACATTTTGACTTTCTGTCTTCGTGTCTCCAGTGCTGAAGGGTTCAGAGCCGCTGAGAAGGAGACGGTGCGTCTGTGTTCAGCTCTGATCAGCAATCATTACATTACTTCATGTCATCTATAAAGCAGTTCTGCAGAAATATCATCATTTTGACTTTATGCCATAATTCTGATTCACAAAAGCATGCTTGTTTATTATGTGACTGAAATGTGCTTCACACACACAACCTGAACCTGATTACATTCACATTCACTATAAAGTTTCTTCAGTGTTTTTAGTGTAACTCAAATATGATGAAAGTCAGTTATGTGTGTTTATGAAGAAATGTTTGTAACATAAAAACTTATATACAATTGACCAAAATACCAAACATTAGGCTATATACAAACTTATATATATGATATGTGTGTTTATGATTGAAATGTTCTTGAACTCTTGGTTTTGTCCTTTAGATCATTCCTGCAGATGAAGAATACAGACAAGCATTTAATTCTAGTATTTTAGAAATATTCTCCTCTCGGTACATCTGAGGCTTCTATAACCGTTTCTATGGGAACCACTGATGCTGGAGTGCCATAAATGCTTGTTGTAGTGCAATTAAATTATTGTTTGGTGTGTGTGTGTGTGTGTGTGTGTGGTTATTCTGCCGCTGCCCCATCTGTGAGATTACTAAGAAATAGAGCGATATTTGCTACTAATAATATTATTAACTATATGCCGGTTTGGTCTTCTGTTTGTGATCTCCCCTTATATCAGTGATTTAGCACACATAGATATCTGACTAAAATAACTTTGATAACGTTTCTAACCTGCATCTATTCATAGAATAATTCAGCAGATGCTCCGCCCTCCACTGTGACGTTTGCAGCGAGCGCAACCGTTTTGGTATTTATGCAAATTGCACAACGCTTTAACCAACCGCGCTCCAGGCCGTCCCCGCACGAGCCAATCGCTGGCCTTGACTATGACTCGCCATATAAGGAGCGAGAACTCCAAAAAAGGAAACAGCGTACTTCTTTATATGGATGCAAGTAGATCGGGCTTGTGCAGATCACTCCGCGTCTGCGCGCAATAAGTGCTTTATGAACCCGCTCAGTGTGATGATTGACAGCTGTCAGTGTTCAGACAATGAGTTAAAGCAGCGGGAAAATATCCCCGTGGAAATGATCGATGATTCCACGCGTTTAAACGGGGGACTAGATGACGCGGCGGAGTAATCGCGGAAGTCTGGTTTTCCTTTTAGAGAACGCGTGGAGTTCCAGGTGAAGCGGGAGAGAGAGTGGGAGTGAAGCGGGGAGAGGGTGCTCAGGTTTAGCATCACTTTTCAAAGTTTCGCGCAGTTTGTATGAGCGACTCACTCTCACACTGACAGTCGCTCAAGCGCTCCGCTGCCGTTAAACGGATCGTTCTCTTCGGTTATATGATGTTATCCAGTCAGACTGGAGCGGCTCTGAGTGGAACCGGGTCAGCGGCGGGGAAGAGTGCGGGTCACGGCGCGGTGGTGATCGGACCCGGGGTTCGGACCGGGCTCGTCCGCTCCTCTCCGGTAGGGATGCTCGGGGGAACCGGAGCCCAGCGAGGCGGCGTACGACCGGGGATCGCAACCGGACTCGGGCCGCTACAAGCCGCAGGGATGGTGGGAGGTTTGAGATTCGATCCGGATAAACAGGGGTTGTGCAGCGGGTCCGACGCGGACTCCGACTCGGGCGATGAGGACGAGCCCGTGGGGTCAGTCACGGACGGCCGGAGGGGAACCGGAGTCAAGCGGGAGAGAGCCGAGATGGAGGCCGTGATGGAGGCGCGGGAGGCCGGCTTGCCCTCGCCGGGGTTCGGGGTGCTTGCCGGTGGAGTGGCCGGAGCCAAACCGGGCAAGAAGACCCGAGGCAGAGTCAAGATAAAAATGGAGTTTATAGACAACAAACTGCGGAGGTACACCACCTTCAGCAAGAGGAAGACGGGCATCATGAAGAAGGTGGGAAACTTTATAAGAACATCATTCAAATTCCATCCAAGGTTATTATTCGTATAGCGCTTTTCACACTGTTTCAGAGAAAGCTTGTTGTGATTTTACAATAAGGGTAGTTTTCTGTTATCAGCCAGAAATGAGTGTTAAAGTCAGTGGAACGATCATGAAACTGAAGGGTTGCAGGTTCGAGTCCTGCTAGTGTTCTTGAGCAACTGTGTCCAGATCAACACAGGAGGATTGACCATGGCAACAAAAACTTGCACATTTTAACAAACATAAGATACAAAAACAGACAAGCCTTCAGACAATAAAGTTATGGTTCAATAGTCAACAAGAAAAATAATATAAAGAAGCCTGATTTATCTATTGAAAATTATTTGCCAAGAGAAAAGAAAAAAACTGGGGCTCAAAAAATGAATAAAAGCATATTATGTATGAATATTAAACATGAGACAAACTCTAGATGTTTTTATATCTTTCTTATTTACAGACATTGAAATTATATTTAAGTACAAATTCAATTATTGTTTGAAGATGTCAAAGCGGGGTTTACTTTTTGTATATTTACATTTATGTATATACAACTTTCCAATAAATAATACAAAAACTTGCTTTAATCAGATTCTTGTCATTAATATTAATGGATAATTAGTCATGCACATAATGTATAATCATAAAACTAACAGTTGTTTCTCCTAGACAGCAGTGAGATAAAATCTGGAGGCTTTTAAGGGATAGTTCACCCAAAAATGAAAATGATCACATAATTTACTCTCCCTCAAGCCATGCTAGGTGTTTATGACTTTCTGTTTTCAGACGAACACAATCAGAGTTATATTAACAATATCCTGGCTCTGACGAGACGAGATTTTGAAGCCCAAAAAGTGCATCCCTCCTTCATAACAGTAATCCATACGCACCCAGGGGTTAGTAAAGGCCTTCTGAAGCCAAGAAAATATCCATATTTACTTTTTTACTAACTATAATCACTAGCTTCTGATAACATAGCGGCCGAGCGCGAGTCTAGTTCCGGCGGAAGAGTGACCTCTGACCTTTGACCTGACACATGACGAGTGACCTCTGACCCGACGCATGAATATGGATATATGGATTTTTTTTTAATTGGCATCAAAAACTCCGGCTCCAGTAACTCCCATTATAAAGCATGGAAGAGCCAGGACATGTTTACTATAACTCTGACTGTGTTCGTCTGGAAGAAGAGTGTCAGTGAATATTGACTTTATTCTTCTCGTCTGCGGTCCGTGTCGCGGCTCTGAACTCAGCGGCTCGTCGGACCTGTCGAGGGATTGCAGGAGTAAAGGAGAGTGTGTGTGTGTGTGTGTGTGGGTCTCGTTCTCTGTAGTGTCACATGTCTTGTCCTTCAGTAGATGATCTGAAGTCACAACAGACTGAGCTTTAAATAGATCCGGCGACTGACATTCTCTATTACAGAGCAGCAGCTCCACAAGCCGGCGAATCCTGACCCGCAAACACTCGGATCCGCTCGGAAGAGGCCGAGAAGCGCAGGAGCAGATCAAGCCGAGTCAGCTTAGTGTTTCAGAGCAGCTTTACACAGATAACAGGACAATAATGCAACAAAGTGTGTTTCCAGAAGAGAATAGAGTCAGTCCAGCTTAAAGGGATAGTTCACTTTGAAATAAATTTTTGTTATGTTTTAGCTTACCTCAAGGGCATCCAAGATGTAGGTGTCTTTGTTTCCGCAGTAGTTTCAATTTTGATATTTTTAGGTCAAGCCGTTCTTGTCTGTCAGTCATATAATGCAGGTCTATGGTCACCACCTCAAAGAGCAGCACAGAGAAGTCCAAATTAAACATGATTTAATGACTCGTAAATGTACACATTGCTGGCCTAAGACACGAAACGAGCGGTTTGTGTGAGAAAACCAACAGTATTTATATCGTTTTTACCTCTTGTAAACACAGCCACGTCCAAGTGATCTGAGGGCGCCGGCGCTTCGGTCTGGAAGTGATCTCTCGCACGTGTACGTCACTCATTGTTTACACAGAACAGAGATTGTAGGTAAGACGGCTAATTAAAAGGGTACTAATTTGCGCTTATCCGGGATGTTTAAACCGTCGTAACAGAAAACAATTCCCAAAAAATACAAAATAAAACAATTGTATGAGTGACGTACACGCGCGAGAGATCACTTCCAGCGCAGACCGAAGCGCCGGCGCCCTCAGATCACTTGGACGTGGCTGTGTTTGCAAGAGGTAAAAACGATATAAATACTGTTGGTTTTCTCACACAAACCGCTCGTTTCGTGTCTTAGCCCAGCAATGTGTACTTTTACGAGTCATTAAATCATGTTTAATTTGGACTTCTCTGTGCTGCTCTTTGAGGTGGTGACCATAGACCTGCATTATATGACTGACAGACAAGAACGGCTTGACCTAAAAATATCAAAATTGAAAATACTGCGGAAACAAAGACACCTACATCTTGGATGCCCTTGAGGTAAGCTAAAACATAACAAAAATTTATTTCAAAGTGAACTATCCCTTTAAGCCAGTTCAGTGATGGCTAATTTATGTGGTAAATTTTAGTTCATTTATATATATATATATATATATAGCCGCTCTGGAGAAAACCGTGATGTCATCGTCCAGCTCAGTTCAGTTCTCATATAATGCTGTCAATGCAGGAGATCAATAATATTGCTGGATATTCAATTAAATGTCCCCAACTAAGACGAAAGCCAAAGGAGACAAAGGCGCCAGTGCCCAGATCAAGCCCTTAAAGCGAAAGCTCACCATAAAATCCTCTTTTGCTCACCTTTATGTCAGTCCAAATGTGTTTTTAAATGCACAAAATAAATGCTTCAGTTCTACATGAAAAGCAAGAACCGATGCACTTGTAATGCGAAGCGCGTGCTTATGATGAAAGCGTCTGCCAAATGCACAGATGTAATTATTGTGTAAAGTTAGTTTTGTGTGCATCTCTATTATCAGGCATTAATTCCTGGTTAAATCACAGTTTTCTGCAAAAGGCGAGTGAATGAAGCCGTAAACGTCTGACAAATGTGCTTTCTCCCTCACACACACACACACACACACACACACACGTGTTAGCAGAAGTATAGCTGTAGTTGAGGTATCTGTGGTGTGTGAGACTCGACAGCTGAGCAAACGCAGACGTGACGAGATCACCAGAACTCCTCCAGCTGCTCCTCACGACAGATCCACGCGTCACACTCTGGAAAACCCTGGAGTGTGTGTGTGTGTGTGTGTGTGAAGGCTGTAATATCCTCATTATTTAACAGTAAAAAGCTTTTATTGTCTTTCTTTGCACACGTCGTACATTGAAATTAGAAGGTGCTTTATGAAAGACATACGTAACATATAACAACAACAAAATAGTATATAATGAGACCAAAACATGCATGGTCTTTTGTAGCTTGAATGTGTGTTTTCAAGTTATTTTAGTGGTTCCATAAAGTTGCAGACTGGTTTATTATATTATTAGGGTCGAGGTGTTTAGCACCTGTTGTTATTGTTAGTGTTCTTATTATTCTTCCCTATTTTCCTTGAGTTAGTTGAACATATTGGTCATTTTCAATCTTGTCGTAAAATGCTGTGTTTTATAAACACGTCTGTGTATCGTTACGAAACTGTGTGTGTGAGTTAGTCTCGCTGCACTTCGCTAGTTTTAATAATAAACAAGTTAAAACGAGGAATCTGTCCGTGCATTGAGACGAGGTAGCCGTATTAAACACACACTGAAACTAAATGACTGATTAAAGCCGTTTCTCCTGTGTGTGTTCTATATCTGATGATGTATTGTGATGATGGACTGGACCCAGTGTGTCGGCCCTCATTAAAGCTGTGGTGTGCTGGTTCTCCTCATGATATTCTCCTTCAGCTCTGTCACTCTCACACTGACGCGTCTCTATTATTAGAGGCTTATCTCACATAGTTTCGCTGCGTCTCCTCCACCGTACGTCTGAGCGGACGCTCGTCTGGACCTGAGAGACTGTGTGTTCGTAAACACTGATGAGAAGCGAGTCTCAGAAACATGCCTTCAGCTTCAGTCTCCGCAGAGAAACACTTCACCAGAAGCAGCGCTCGAGTCTTTATCCCATCTGAATATATTTGATGAAGTTTGTGTTAGGGATGCACTGATATGAACTTTTTTTTTTTTACTGGATAAGAAGCAAAATGAAGATATTAAGTGTTGTTTACTGAAAAAAAAAAATCAAACTTAATTCAAAAGGAAAAACATGATTATTTTCTTCACTGGCAGATAATTGTTCTTGTTTTAAACACAAACTCACTTCAATTTTAGACACTTGTCCGTAAACAAGACTTAATATCTTCAGTAATTCTGCTTCTTCTCCAGTAAATGTCTGGATGTGAGAGTGTTTAGATGTTTGAGCTGGAGAACGAGACAGAAACACTGAGGAGGAGGAAGATGGGACGCACCGATATTAACATTTTGGCCGATAATCTTTATATTTGAAAGCCGATAACCGATATATTGGCCGATAAATCTAAATCCAATTTTTATATGATTTTTGAGAGCCTGATTACAAACACACAAGTCTCACCATTAACAGCCCCGTCCCACACACACATTTATGATGTTCTCATGATAGTGTTATGAAGCCGATATGACAGACTTGTTGCTCTGAACTGTATTTTCCTGTATTATCGATACCGATATGCTGGCTGATGTACCGTGCGTTCCTAGTTTGCGTCTTGGTTTTGACTGAACGGTGTACTGTAATAAAGCTGATGCTCTGAGTGTTTTGCTGATATCTTGACGTTGTGTTTTCTCTCTCTCTGAGGGCGTACGAGCTCCGCATATTTCATAAAATAAACCAACTCTTTTTTCTTTTTTTCGGAGCTTCCTCTGTTTCTCTGACTAATAAATAAATACCACTTTATTTCAGTGTGATTAATGTGCAATCTTGACACAAATTAATTAATTATGATCAATGTATCAATTTTTATTGTAAACCGGTGTTAAAGCATCTATGCTTGGGTTTTACATCTTTAGGTAAACAACAGTAATGTCAGCAAACGGCCGCTTTTATCATGTTCGGTTCGCGATCTCGCCGTTTCCAGTGATTTCTTTCTGATTAGTTTTCTAATGAAACTTCCATTTGTTGGTGAAATGATGTGTGTGTGTGTGTGTGTGTGTGTGTGTGTGTGTGTGTGTGTGACGTTGATCCAGAGAGCCATGTTTTAGTGAAGCGCTGCAGAGAGAATTCCAGTTCGCATGGATGAAGCAATAAAACAAAATTCTGTATTATACATTTTAAGGCCAGACAGTAATTTGTTGAGGTCAATTTGTAAAGAGAGACACATGCCTGCACACATATATATATTCAAACACAATATCTATAGACTGAACACATGATACGCATGTGCGCCGTCAGCGTTTACACAGATTCACGTTTTTAAAGTTTAAGCACTGCTGTGTGCGGATGAACAGCAGAACACATTAAAGTTTCTGTCTTCAGTAGAGCGGTGTCGTGTTAGCGGCCGCTAAGTTAATCACTAATGATCTTTACAACGGAAGTGAATCAATCAAAACTAACTTTAGCTGGACAATAACTTTATTCTAGAGCTGCTGTAAAGCCTAAACACTCTCTGTGACTGTAATCTCCTGTTATCACTGTAAAGCTGCTGTGAAACACTCTGTGCTGTTACAGCGCTGGATAGATGAAGAAGACTGACTAGACTAGACTAGACTTGACTAGACTAGACTAGACTAGACTAGACTAGACTAGACTAGACTTGACCAGACTTGACTAGACTAGACTAGACTAGACTTGACTTGACTTGACTTGACTAGACTTGACTTGACTAGACTTGACTTGACTTGACTAGACTTGACTAGACTAGACTAGACTAGACTTGACTAGACTAGACTAGACTAGACTTGACTTGACTAGACTTGACTTGACTTGACTAGACTTGACTTGACTAGACTAGACTTGACTTGACTAGACTAGACTTGACTAGACTAGACTTGACTTGACTTGACTAGACTTGACTTGACTAGACTAGACTAGACTTGACCAGTGATGGGAATAACGGCGTTATAAATAAACGGCGTTACTAACGGCGTTATCTTTTTCAGTAACGAGTAATCAAACGAATTACTGTTTCCCCCGTTACAACGCAGTTACCGTTACTGACAAAAAAATGTGGCGTTACTATAATTGAACTCACTGAAGCGGCTTTCATCCGAGTAGGCTCTCTCTCCGCCATAGGACCTGCAAAGTTTTTTTCTCTGGTGTGTGTGTGTGTGTGTTTATGAGGCGCCGGAGTGGACAAAAGCGAAGCGATTGGCGCGAGCGCGCTCAATGCGCGAGAGAGACCGAATGTGTCCGAGAGCGCGCTCAACAGTTGCGCAAGAGAGACCGAGGGTGTCCGAGCATTATATAGTTTGTTTATAAATAAATGACACATATCTGCAACGTTAATTAATTTACATGGTTATACAAATAAAATCTAAAAAATTACCGTCAGGTAACGTTCTGTTTAGGTTATAAAATAAACCCGAAAATAACCTGCAGGGAACATTCACAGAAAACATCTTTGTTTGACCGGTTGTAAACACGTGCGACAAACATGTCTAGAATTTGGCTTAAATAATCTCTGATGATGACGTTCGCTATAGGTTATAAAAATAAACCCCCAAAATATTATATTTTAGTATTATATTTTTTTTGGTAAATTGTTCAGTATTATATTGAGAGAGCACTTGTTAAACTGTTTACTTTTGTTAGGAAGAAAATACTCAGGCTACAGTATGTCTACTAGTTGTGAAGTTGTGTAACAGTTTTATCATTTTAATATGCCCAAAGAGTATGTATATTTTTTATTATTATTTATTCATTTTTGGTACATTTCTTAAGAAGCATAATTTATTTTTAAACTTATTTGTTGGCCAGTTGGGGTCTGTGCGATATTAAGTAAACCATCTATAATGTTTTATTGTTCTACTATAGTAATGCTAATATTTAGAATAATATATTGAATTTAATAGGCGTCTCTCACATTGTCCCACAGCAACATTAAAATAGAATAAATTATTATTATAAAACATTGAACACTAATCTACACTATTAAGTGTCCATTTCATTAATTTAACATATTTAATACTGGGGGCATCCAAATTATTTGACATAGGCCTATTTGATTTTTTTTTTTTTTTTTAAGTAACGCAATAGTTACTTTCTCTGGTAATTAGTTACTTTTATAATGATGTAACTCAGTTCCTAACTCAGTTACTATTTGTGAGAAGTAACTAGTAACTATAACTAATTACTTTTTTTAAGTAACATGCTCAACACTGGACTTGACTAGACTTGACTAGACTTGACTTGACTAGACTTGACTTGACTAGACTTGACTAGACTAGACTTGACTAGACTAGACTTGACTAGACTTGACTTGACTAGACTAGACTTGACTAGACTTGACTAGACTTGACTTGACTAGACTTGACTAGACTTGACTAGACTTGACTTGACTTGACTAGACTTGACTAGACTTGACTAGACTTGACTAGACTTGACTAGACTAGACTTGACTAGACTAAACTAGACTAGACTTGACTAGACTTGACTTGACTTGACTAGACTAGACTAGACTAGACTTGACTAGACTAGACTTGACTAGACTTGACTTGACTTGACTAGACTAGACTTGACTAGACTTGACTTGACTTGACTTGACTAGACTAGACTAGACTAGACTTGACTTGACTTGACCGAGCTCCAGGCCGGACGGTGGAAACACTGCTATTTTTTTGCTGATCTCTCTCTCTCTCTCTCTCTCTCTCTCTCAGGCGTACGAGCTCTCCACGCTCACAGGAACTCAAGTCCTGCTGTTGGTGGCGAGCGAGACAGGTCACGTCTACACGTTCGCCACACGTAAACTCCAGCCCATGATCACCAGCGAGACGGGCAAAGCTCTGATCCAAACCTGTCTGAACTCTCCCGACTCCCCGCCGCGCTCCGACCCGTCCACGGACCAGCGCATGAGCGCCACGGGCTTCGAGGAGACCGACCTCACGTACCAGGTGTCCGAGTCCGAGTGCCTGGGAGAAACCAAGGTCAGGTCTTATTCTTAAAGTGCTGAGAATCAGGATGCAAAAATGATATCTGTTGTAGTTCCCATTCACTTTTGCTTCTGGAAACCCTAGAGATGTGAAAGTGCCGATATCGAGACGTTTTAGCACTGATAATTAACCCTTAAAGGGGCGGTTGATTATGATTTCACTGTAGTGAGTGTGTGATGTTGCTGTTTGAGCGTAAACAACATCTGCAGAGTTACGACTCAAAGCTCAAAGCAAAGGGAGAGATTTGCTTTTACAGAAAACGCTTTTTAAGGACTACAACACACGGCTGGTAGAACTACACGAGCTTCCTCCCGGGTTAGGGACATCACCAACCCTAAGATTTACATAACCCCGCCCCCGGAACACGATTTATAGATTATTAAGACAGAATATTCTAATCAATGACTAGAAGAGAACTACACATAAGCTCTTCTACTAACCAGTCAGAAATGTCGTCTACATGTTGTCGCTTCTTCTTGAGTCTCTCCATCTTTATCTGACTCCGGTTTGAACATAAAAGGCTGAAAGTTTTTGAGATTTTCAGTGCGTAATCAAGCTACTAAGAACACGAGCTGTTGAAGCTCCGCCCCCTCTGCCGGGAGCTGCGGCTCATTTGCATTTAAAGGGACAGACACAAAAATGGTGTGTTTTTGCTCCCCCTCAAAAAGTGACAACTTTAACATGCTATATAAAAATATCTGTGGGGTATTTTGAGCTAAAGCTTCACACTCTGGGGACACTCTTATTTTACATCTTGTTAAAAGGGCATTAAACCACCGCTTTAAGAGTCTGGGAGAAGCCAAGGTGAGGTCAGCACTGAGATCTTAAAATAATGAGAGAAACTGCCAGATGATCCAATCAAACTCACTGTGTGTTCACACCGGACGCGAATAGCGCGTCAAATTCGCGTCTACCGCGCCTAGTCTACCGCGCCACTTGGTGTTAATTCGCGCGTCAAGAGTGAAACTGACGCGCGTAAAAACAAAAGTTTGAAGCGAAATTTACGCGTGTCGGATTCGAAACCCGTTGGCGGCCATCTTTTTTATTTTGATCGAGCATTCATCGGGAGAGTCACCTCTCTGTATTTGCTCTGGAGAGCAGAACAGCGGCGTAGGGGTCATCGTTGCCGTATTTGTGTCCACCAGACCCTTCAGGGGCGAACCCAAAATGTTTTGCATTGACTTAACATTGAAATGACTCGCGCCCGACGCGCTATTCGCTTCCGGTGTGAACGCACCATTAGAGCTTCATGAAGAGATTTGCATATTAATGAGCTTTAATGCACATTAATGTTTGTCTGGTTGTACCGCAACTTGATTTGGCTTCGTGAAAACTTTGACCTGTGGGAAAGTGCTGGATATCTGTCATTTTAGGACAAAACGTGATATTATCATTTATTTTTGAATAGTATAAATGGTTTTCAATGAGCGTTGGTCATTTATTTAATAATATGTTCATTTACTTATTTATTTGGTTATTTAAAGTCCCCTTGTGGTGAAACTCCAGCGTTTAATGTTGTTTATGTGTCTATGTGGTGTTTTTAATCTGCTTTAAGACACACGTGTGTAAGTTCATAAGTCGACAGCATTGCTGAGTATTTCCTCCTTAAAACTGCAGTGAACCAAAGACAGTCTCAAAAACACGGTTTGAAATCGCTGGTGTTTCTGACGTCACAAACGAGCTTGTAACCAATCAGATCAACGTGTGATCGTCAACCAGTGGATCTCTGAGCTGAGGGAGTGAGTGGAGGCGGGGCTCATTTGCATATTCGTAGAACCGCATAAACTAAATGAGGCGAGGGTGTCGAGTTACATTCAAGATATTCTAAGGCATGAAGATTTTTATTTTTCAAGAAAAACGTTTAAATATGTAATTTTGGTGATCAAAGACGAGTTTGAAGGGATAAAATGATTGACTACAGGGACTTTAAGACGCTCATATTTTATGAATCTATGAAACTCTCAAGTTGCTCCAAAATCCACACGCTGAAGAGTTATTGCTGCCATATTAAAGGCTAGAGTGTTTCGTTCCTCCGTCTGCGCCGAGCGTTTGTTCTTCCCCCTGCTCTGGCTCAGGCTGTACCGTGTTTACTGGCGTGATCCCCCTCCTCTCACACACACACAGCGAGTATAAATAGTGCTGCACTTACGACCTTCACTCTGTAGTCTGCTGACTTCACCCGGGCAGAAATGAATCACTGGTAAGTGCGTTACACTCCTCTTCTACTCTCCTCAGATGAAGCGCGCGCAGCGTCAGCGTCTGCAGACCGCACTCGTATTTACGTGTCTGTGGGAGTCCTGCTCCCGGCTCATCGCTCATCGCTCATCGCTCATCGCTCATCGCTCATCGCTCATCCCTCATCGCTCATCCCTCATCGCTCATCGCTCATGCTCATCGCTCATCACTCATCGCTCATCGCTCATGCTCATCGCTCATCGCTCATCGCTCATCGCTCATCCCTCATCGCTCATCGCTCATGCTCATCGCTCATCGCTCATCGCTCATCGCTCATCGCTCATCGCTCATCGCTCATGCTCATCGCTCATCGCTCATCACTCATCGCTCATCGCTCATGCTCATCGCTCATCGCTCATCGCTCATCGCTCATCGCTCATGCTCATCGCTCATCGCTCATCGCTCATCGCTCATCGCTCATCGCTCATCGCTCATGCTCATCGCTCATCGCTCATCGCTCATCGCTCATCGCTCATCGCTCATCGCTCATCGCTCATCGCTCATCGCTCATCGCTCATCGCTCATCGCTCATCGCTCATGCTCATCGCTCATCGCTCATCGCTCATGCTCATCGCTCATCGCTCATCGCTCATCGCTCATCGCTCATGCTCATCGCTCATCGCTCATGCTCATCGCTCATGCTCATCGCTCATCCTCATGCTCATGCTCATCGCTCATCGCTCATCGCTCATCGCTCATGCTCATCGCTCATCGCTCATGCTCATCGCTCATGCTCATGCTCATCGCTCATCGCTCATCGCTCATCGCTCATGCTCATCGCTCATGCTCATCGCTCATCGCTCATCGCTCATGCTCATCGCTCATGCTCATGCTCATCGCTCATCGCTCATGCTCATCGCTCATGCTCATCGCTCATCGCTCATCGCTCATGCTCATCGCTCATGCTCATGCTCATCGCTCATGCTCATCGCTCATCACTCATGCTCATCACTCATGCTCATCGCTCATCGCTCATGCTCATCGCTCATGCTCATCGCTCATCGCTCATCGCTCATGCTCATCGCTCATCACTCATGCTCATGCTCATCGCTCATCGCTCATGCTCATCGCTCATCGCTCATGCTCATCGCTCATCGCTCATCGCTCATGCTCATCGCTCATGCTCATCGCTCATCGCTCATGCTCATCGCTCATCGCTCATCGCTCATCGCTCATCGCTCATGCTCATCGCTCATGCTCATCGCTCATGCTCATCGCTCATCGCTCATGCTCATCGCTCATGCTCATGCTCATCGCTCATGCTCATCGCTCATCACTCATGCTCATCGCTCATCGCTCATGCTCATCGCTCATCACTCATGCTCATCGCTCATCGCTCATCGCTCATCGCTCATGCTCATCGCTCATCGCTCATGCTCATCGCTCATCGCTCATGCTCATCGCTCATCGCTCATCGCTCATGCTCATCGCTCATCGCTCATGCTCATGCTCATCGCTCATCGCTCATGCTCATCGCTCATCGCTCATCGCTCATGCTCATCGCTCATGCTCATCGCTCATCGCTCATGCTCATCGCTCATGCTCATCGCTCATGCTCATCGCTCATCGCTCATGCTCATCGCTCATCGCTCATGCTCATCGCTCATGCTCATCGCTCATCGCTCATCGCTCATGCTCATCGCTCATCGCTCATGCTCATCGCTCATCGCTCATGCTCATGCTCATCGCTCATCACTCATGCTCATGCTCATCGCTCATCGCTCATGCTCATCGCTCATCGCTCATGCTCATCGCTCATCGCTCATCGCTCATGCTCATCGCTCATCGCTCATCGCTCATCGCTCATGCTCATCGCTCATCGCTCATCGCTCATGCTCATCGCTCATGCTCATCGCTCATCGCTCATGCTCATCGCTCATCGCTCATCGCTCATCGCTCATCGCTCATCGCTCATCGCTCATCACTCATCGCTCATCGCTCATGCTCATCGCTCATCGCTCATGCTCATCGCTCATCACTCATGCTCATGCTCATCGCTCATCGCTCATGCTCATCGCTCATCGCTCATGCTCATCGCTCATCGCTCATCGCTCATGCTCATCGCTCATCGCTCATCGCTCATCGCTCATGCTCATCGCTCATCGCTCATCGCTCATGCTCATCGCTCATGCTCATCGCTCATCGCTCATGCTCATCGCTCATCGCTCATCGCTCATCGCTCATCGCTCATCGCTCATCACTCATGCTCATCGCTCATGCTCATCGCTCATCGCTCATGCTCATCGCTCATCGCTCATCGCTCATCACTCATGCTCATCGCTCATCACTCATGCTCATGCTCGCTCATCACTCATCGCTCATCGCTCATGCTCATCGCTCATCGCTCATGCTCATCGCTCATCGCTCATGCTCATCGCTCATCGCTCATGCTCATCGCTCATCGCTCATCGCTCATCGCTCATGCTCATGCTCATCGCTCATCGCTCATCGCTCATGCTCATGCTCATCGCTCATCGCTCATCGCTCATCCCTCATGCTCATGCTCATCGCTCATGCTCATCGCTCATCGCTCATCGCTCATGCTCATGCTCATCGCTCATGCTCATCGCTCATCGCTCATCGCTCATCGCTCATCGCTCATGCTCATCGCTCATCGCTCATCGCTCATCGCTCATCGCTCATCGCTCATGCTCATCGCTCATCGCTCATCGCTCATCGCTCATCGCTCATGCTCATCGCTCATCGCTCATCGCTCATCGCTCACCGCTCACCGCTCACCGCTCATCGCTCATCGCTCA